CTAAATCTATTGATGTGCACACGTTTAATGTGATTCGTCGTATAATTTAATTTATACGAGAATGGAGTTTCAATCTTCAAGCAGGAAACCTCTTGACAAAAGGGTGAGATTAGTAACAACAAAGATGCCGCCGTGGAGTACTGGTCATGCGGCGCACGTATTTTATGTACATAAGGAACCGCTAGTTATGATGAGCGTTACCCATAAATGCATTCGAAACACATAAAGAATCTTTTTAATCGACGTAGGAATTTACAGAAATAACCATAATAATGAATCCAGCTTAATTCGTAAATTCACAATAAGCTTTACCAAATTAAACTAATTATGGGTTCAAATCTAGCTTAATTCGTAAATTCATAATAAGATATATCCAATTAGACTAAGTTTGGGCTCAAGGTTCTTTAAAAAAAAACAATGCGGTCAATCAGAGGCATATAGTTAATATTAGGCAAATGACTCCCGTGTGCAAAATGTATTTTCTGCGCATGATAAACCGCACCTGCATATGTACAATGCATATGTCTCGCGTGATGGTGTTTCTTGTGTGACGTATTCTCCACGAGCCAATGAAGGATGTCGTATTGCGGTAGGCTAATAATGAATTCGTCATTGGCCATTGTGCTAATGTCGTACCAATCACTCAAATTAAAATCGTTCATAAATAAGGAAAGCTTTGGTGTGATTGATTCAAATATTCGGCACTCTCTATATGATTAATTTAATTGTTTGCATTTAATTTTAATTGATTGCTAAACGAAAGTTTGTCGCCTTATATCTTTAAATAACAATAACCTAACGAATCATCCATAATTCTTGTTTGGGGTTGGGGGTTTTTTTCGCTTCACATGTTTATTTAGAAAGCGACCTTCCTTAAACACACTAATGACCATCCATCAGGTACAGTATTACTATTCGGCGAAATTCACATAGTCCAATTGCATGCAGCTTATGATAATAAAAATAAAAAATTGTCGACTTATCGTCTCACGTTGGAATCCAAATCTCCTCAGTTAAATCGGTTTAACCATGATATGGCTCAATCATCGTTACACTATAAATTATTTTACATATAAAAAACGACATTTTGAGTCTGATGTAGGGGGAATGCCCCGTGAATGCCAAGTAAAAAAAAAAAATTGAATTTTAAGTTTGTCAAGTATATTCCTATCATACTTTATTAAACATTATAGTAACTCGGTACTTCTTTTTTTTTATTTTGCATAATGAATAATTGCCGATTCATAAAAAAATAAATTGAATTTCTTTAAAATTTATGTTAAACAAATAGTAGTTCCGATTTCCTTTATTTTTAATTTTTAAAATTTGATAAATGCTCTCTTCAAAAATTACCAATTTATCATTGAACCAATACTTGATAAATGTTTGTCAAGTAATGCAACCACAAACAATTACTTGATAAATAAATATCATTTGTCAAGTAATGCAAATAATAACAATGCTTTTAAAAAATAGTATTTTTGAAAAATATTATAAAAACATAATATCAAATTGTTAATCTCAATAATAATAATTTAATTGCTTAAAAAAATTACTTCTTATAATATCCGAAAAATAAATATTTAAAATTGTATAAATATTAAAGTTAAAAGTTAAACATTATTATTTGAACTTTAAAGTTTTTTAAAAAAAATAATAAAAATTAAATTATTAAAAATTATTTTTATTGATTAATCAATTTGTTTAAAAATAAAAAAAGATTTTTTTTTTTTAAAAAAAACACTTATTAGTCAGTTTATTTGATTATAAAGTTCAGGTACAGGAGAGATACAAGCAATTTGTAAGACTATATACCTTATACTATTACAAATAACAGTTTTCCATATGGTCCACTTCGACTAATATTTTAAACAACTCAAGCTAACCTAGCATACACGAAGTTTCACTAGTGTGTTATGTTAACAAGAGAGTAGGTGCAATTTGAAGGATAAGGGGATCATAAGATCTATATATAAAACTTTGTTCCAATGCAATATCAGAATTTCAAAAACCTCCTATAAAAAGAAATTACTGAGAAAAAATTTAACCCTAGAATAGAAGTCTTAATCAATGTGTTGTGTGCAATTGGTGTAAGAAATGATTGGTGAACTTTAGAGTGGGTTTGCTTCAATAGAAATAATGATTCGTATACTTTCAATTACTTTGCAGCTCATACGGGGGAAGAAGCTATCACTCAGTCCACGAATGCCTTACCAGAAACCATATGAGAAAAATATGGTGAGACCTGCTTCTCCTTTTATATTCTCTGGAGTTATACCAAGTTCTTTGGTTTCTAATTGTGACGAGATCTTCCACTTAAGGTCGAAACACCCCATTTGTCTTTAACTAAAATTCTCAGTAATACGAGGAACTCGAATCATGTCCCTTTATAAAATTACACTCCAGCCAGTTTTCAACTATATCCATGAGTTAACTATTGATACTAGGTAAAAAGGGAAAATTCTTTAAGTCGCTCGTCTATCTAATCGCTTTCATATAGGGAAAGGAAATGAAGTTCAACTATGGTGTGGTCACTACTCTATTCAATATTACTATCTACCAGAGGTGAGAGGTTCAATCTTCGTGAAAAGAAAAGGTCAGAGAAGAGGATAGGTATAGCTGTGTAGATTGATCCACTGTATCACATAAGGTCTTATGATAAAGTAGAGAAATATATATTAGGTCTCCATATTCTAAGAGCTAAACTAATTGAAAGATAACGGTTAACCAGTTTCTTTAACTCTTCCGTGGAACATCCTCTGATGTAGGAGGTAATAATGTCTATTATCCACCCACATCACAGACATATGACTTATGATGGACCTCAGATTTTTATGAAGCTGAGAAAATGCATTCAGACACGTGAGGTGACCAATAGAAGCTTGTTTACATTCTTTTACTGATGGGATTCTACTGAACCAATCAACATATGAGAAACTTTGTGCTACTTTAAATTCAGGATCAAACTGAGGTAGGCAAAATTCTCCAGAAAAAACCAAGAAAAAGCACTATTAGAGCCCAATAAATGACGAAGAGAGTGGATGGAGTGTGTTCATAATAGCTCTCATCACAAACAAAGCTCTGTGATGTTTAACTATGTGTAAAAAGAGAAGCAGACAATTAGTTCTTCATCCTTTTAGAACTTTCTTCTATGGTTTTTATTTACTACAAAATAATGTTGTACATATGATGATTTATACATAATAAATATATTATATACTATATATACTAACTAGTCCTGTTAAGGAAAATCACATGACACTCTCTTAATTTTTCCTAAAACAATTTTATAGAGTAATTTAGTTATCAGACCATTGCGTATACACTAACCTGTCCTCAGTTTTGGGACTTCAACGTGATTCACAGATTCCTCCTTTCACCAAGGTCTCCTGATGATTCGTCATAGGCAAGTTTGACCATGCTTTTAAGCATCCCATCAGTACAATGTTTACTCTTTTCAGGACTTCAGCCTTCTTAACTTAACAACTTTCTTATCGATCAGTAAGATCGGCAGAATGTCTTCATTAATCCAGTTTTAGTCCTGGTTAACCACAAGATCAATCCATCCTTCTCCACCTTATCATGGTAATGATATGATACTGATCGTCCACAACATTCATAGTCTGGCCTGATCTGGTAAAGATCAGCTATAGGTGATGCTGTATTACAGTAGATCCTTCTATTTCAGGTATTGATAAGATAGCCAGAACTGCGTCCAATGACAAGTATTAACCTGTCATCCAATGGAATCATTTCATTGTGTGTGGTATTTTTTACTTAGCCCTTAGGTGGTATTGAACTCTGAATCTTGTGATTGTGACTTGAGAGCACTACCACTGTGCTATAGACCCACAGGTCAAATAAAAAAAGATTATTTATTAAATATCTATTAATTATATATATATTTTATATTTAACTAAATTTTTTATGCACATATTGAAACAAAGTAAAATAAAAAATCAACTCTTTCCGCTGATCCTCTGACCACACACAAAAAAGATGTTCGCAAGAAGTTTTTATACTTCTTTGCTAATAAAG